CAGGCCAAGCCCTCCCCTTTGCTCAATAATTGACTTATATGTTCAAAACGCTAGCGCCTTTTCAGTAAGATTTCTTATATTTTCTGGCCTACTCTGCGTGTTCACCAAGAATACTTTCTGGCTTTAGTCTTATTTCTGCTGATCTTACCTCTAAACAACTATACACTTATGTAGTAACTTTGAGTCCTGAAGTGCTTATGCCCTCACTGTGGTAAATAATGCAGAAACTAGGGTAAGGAAAGTATTATTACCCTCAGAAATAAGTCTCTATTTTTTAAAAAATTTGAAACATTTATTTTTTGATAATATTTGACAGTATTGATGGGTACATATTGACATTTGACATGATAGTATATGTCATAGAAGATGTGTAATGATTCAATCAGGGTCTTAGGGTTACCTATCACTTCAAGATTCTGTGTGTGGAAACATTTAAAATCCTCTTCTAGCTATTCTCGCTAAGTATGCTAAATTTGTTAACTACACTCACCAATTTCTTGTCGAAAATTTAGAATTGCTTCCAGTCTAACGTATTTTGTACCCATAACAAAGCTTCTCTTCATCCCTCCCCTCTCCCCACAACACTCTTCTGCTCTGCTATCTATAATTCGCTACTCCACCTCCAGTGAAATAAATTGTAGCCCCTGAGTGAGGACAGTGGATATTTGCTTTGGTGTTCTGGCTCTAGTTCACTAACAAGATGACCTCCATTCCATCCAGTGTTGCTACAAAACATGATTCAACTGTTGTTTTTATGTCTGAATAGCATTCCATTGTGTATAAATACAACCATTTTCTTATCCATTGTCCACTGATAAACCTTATGTTGATCTTCATATCCTTGTTATTTGTGAATGGCCATGCGAATAACGTGGCTGCGATATCTTTGATTATACTGGTTTCTTCTTTCATAAATACCCAGTTACTGGAATTCCTAGTACTAGGTATTCTATTTTCATTTTGAAAAACTCTCATACTGTCTCCATAGTGGCTGGCTAATGTTACATTCCCCCAACAGTATATGAGTCTTTTCTCCAAATCCTGACAGCATCTGTACTTTTTGGATTTTTTAATTATTTTTTATTTGGTATATTATGGGGTAAAGATTTAAGGTTTCATAAATGCGCCATTTCCCCCTCCCCCTTTTTGGATTTTTAATCACAGCCATTCTAACTGGAGTAAAATGGTTATCTCATGTTGTTTTTATTTTTTATTTTTTGAGACAGAGTCTCACTCTGTGCCAGACTAGAGTGCCATGGCATCAGCCTAGTTCACAGCAACCTTCAAACCAGGCTCAAGCGATCTTCTGCCTCAGATCCAAGTAGCTGGATACAGGGTATGCACCACGTTGCCCAGCTAATTTTTCTCTATGTATTTTTAATTGGCCATTTAATTTCTTTCTATTTTTAGTAGAGACAAGGTCTCACTATTGCTCAGGTGGTTTAACTCCTGAACTTGAACAATCCTCTCGCCTGGCCTCCCAGAGAGCTAGATTACAGGCGTGAGCCACCGCGCCTGGCCTCTCATGTGGTTTTGATTTGTATTCTCTGATGATAGCGATATGAGCATTTTTCAGGTACCTGTTGGCCATATGTGGATCTTCTTTGATTCTCCTTTTAAATAGAGTATTAACTCTTAAATAACAAAATATATAAAGCATTTCATCTGAACAAAATAACTTTTGTTCCTTCAGGTACTATGTTCTAAATCACTTCTCTGGATTAAGGATGGAGAAGAATTAAGAGATGGAGAAACAATTAAATTTGGTTAACTAATCAGATTGCAAAACTTTTCAAGTAAGACTAAAACTGTTATCATAAATGGCTTATATCATGTTGTTTTTCCTGGTCATTCATAAAATACACAGATGCTTTGCTTTCAATTTTTTATTGCCCATCAAATTGTTAATGTTTGTTCAAGACTCTTGATCGGGCCAGGTGCAGTGGCTCTGCCTGTAATCTAGCACTTCGGGAGGCTAGGCTGGAGGACGCTTGAGCTCAGGATTCGAGACCAGCCTGAACAAGAGTGAGTCCCTGTCTCTATTAAAAATAGAAAAACTAGCTAGGCAACTAAAATAGAAAAAATTAGCCAACAAAAAATAGCGAGGCATGGTGGTGTGTGCCTGTAGTTCCAGCTACCAAGGAGGCTGAGGCAGGAGGATCAATTGGAGCCCAGGAGTTTGAGGTTGCAGTGAGCTATATGGAGGCCAGTGGGCGGCAGAGTGAGACTCTGTCTTGAAACGAAATGAAAAGGAAAAGAAAGAAAAGAATAAAATGGATACAGGGATGGATAGTTGGTTACCATGTAAAAAGCATGGCAATGGAAAATGTTAATCACTTAGGTGATGAGTGTATGTCTTATCTGTAAATCTTTCAATTCTTGAATGTTTGAATTTTTTTTTTTGAGACAGAGTCTCACTTTGTTACCCAGGTAGAGTGAGTGCCATGGCATCGCCTAGCTCACAGAACCTCAAACTCCTGGGCTCAAGCGATTCTGCTGCCTCAGCCTCCCGAGTAGCTGGGTACAGGCAGTGCCACCATGCCCGGCTAATTTTTTCATATATATTAGTTGGCCAATTAATTTTTCTGTTTATAGTAGAGACGGGGTTCTCGTCTGCTCAGGTGGTTTCGAACTCCTGACCTTGAGCAATCCGCCCGCCTCGGCCTTCCCAGAAGCTAGGATTACAGGCGTGAGCCACAGCGCCCGCCGAAAGACAGATTTTTCTTATAAAAGGAGTCCTTAGGCAGGTGCGGTGGCTCACGCCTGTATCCTAGCACTCTGGGAGGCTGAGATGGCGGATTGCTCCAGGTCAGGAGTTCGAAACAGCCTGAGCAAGAGCAAGACCCGTCTTACTATAAAGAAAAGAAATTAATTCGCCAATAATTATATTAAAAATTAAGCTGGGCATGGTGGTGCATGCCTGTAGTCCAATCTCGGGAGGCTGAGGCAGGAGGATCGCTTGAGCCCAGGAGTTTGAGGTTGCTGTGAGCTAGGCTGATTCCACGGCACTCACTCCAGCCTGGTCAACAAGCGAGACTCTGTCTCAAAAAAAAAAAAAAAAAAAAAAAATATTGAGGGAGGGAAGATCAGTCATTTGCTCTTCAAACTATAAAGACATGCTAGGTGCCTTTACATGTGTCACATATTATCTCTGACAACCCTGTGAAGTCACCATTAGTCTTATTTTTTAAATGAAACAATTAAGGCTCAGAAATGTTGAATCATATGCTAAAAGCCACATAGTTAGTAGGGACTGAGCTAAGCCTGGAATCTGCCAGGTCTGCCAGTTCAGGAGGGGCTATGTGGTGAAGTAAAAATAACACCCAGTTCCCATTAATAATCATCTTTGGAACCCAGGGATTCAGAGAAGCAGTCTTTTGGTTAAAAGAGATATTTGAGATATCACTCAGCACCAGTCCTGGCATGCAGACATGCTTAGTTCCACCCACCTCTTTGTTTATTAACAATAATGGATCTAATAGATCTAAATGAGCCAGAAAGACCTTCCTTAACTGTTGCTATTTACAGTAAGAATTAGACTGGAAAGACCATGCCTTGATTTCAACTCTAATAAAAAGTAATTTATTCTTTCTTTAAAAAAAAAAAAAGAAGTCTCTAGCATTGTAATTTCAGCTGCTATACGCCCAAGAATACATCTTTATTCAAAACTAGAGAACAAGCAAATATCTGAGAGGAAGAAAACGCTACAATCACTAATTCATACAGTGAAGGGATGGACCAATTCTAAAGTTCATTAGGTTTGTTATTTTGTATACCATGTACAGAGTGAAAGTGAAGCAGGACATTTCCCCACCTGAAGCCATTGTCTATGGCCACCTCTAGACCAAAAAATGCCAACAATGGCTTGACATCACATGTGTCTCCTTGCCCGATGTTTCACCTGCATTGGATAACAGACAGAATCCTGGGATGAGCTTCCTCCCATGGGGACAGGCCCATGGTGTGCCCTATATTCTGAGGGATCCAGAGTCAGTGCAGGCTTCTTTAATATGCACTTGCATCTGGGGTACCCCATCTTGGAGAAGCAGGAGAGACACTGGCCAAAAAGGACAGTGCTCTAAGGGAGAGAATACTCCAGAAGGAAGAGCCAGCTAGGCAAATGGTTTTCAGTGAAATAACCCCAAGTGGGGCATAAAACAAGGGGCTCTGGGAGCAGGAGCCTCAGAAAATGGGATCAGCCCTCAGGCAGCTTTTCAGATGCCTGCCTCCTCCTGCCCACAGACCTTCTCTGTGCCTATGACCTCTGCTTTTTTCCTAACACAGAACTTCCTCTCCTTATCCCCCACATGCATAAACTTTGCCTTTTCCTTACTAAACTCTGATCAGCTTGGGTGAGCTCCAATCACCCACATTCTTGAAATATATCTGGAAAGTACTGGAAATGAACTGGGGGATCCTGGCCTCCCAAAACTGGGATTGGCTTTCTGAAAACCCTCCTGCAGCCTGCTGCCAACTCAGCCTCTTGCTACCAGAGCGGTGGATCCACTGATGGGCTTCCAGGGCATACTTACGCTTGAAGCCTTTCCCACATTCAGGGCAAGGGAAGGGCCGGCTGTCCGAGTGAATGTGCCGGTGACTGATGAGGAGAGAAGAGTAGGTAAAGCGGAGGCCACAGTCAGGGCAGGGGTAGGGCCTCTCACCTGTCTGTGCACACCTGTGGATGGCCAGCAGGGAGGTGTAGGCGAAATGGAGGCCGCAGTTGGGACAGCTGCAGGGCTTCTCACCTGTGTGCTTGCGCTGGTGAAGGACCAGCAGGTAGGGGTAAGTAAAGTGACTCTTGCACTCTGGGCATAGGTAGGGCTTCTCCCCAGTGTGAGCCTGCCTGTGGATGGCCTGGGAACCCCTCTGGCAGAAGTGGCACCCACAGTGGGGACAGGGGTAGGGCTTTTCACCTGTGTGGATGAACTGATGCTAGAGCAGGTACTTGTGCTGGGAGAAACAGGCCTGGCACTGGTCACAGGGAAAGGGCCAGTGCCCACAGTGGACCCGCTGGTGGCTGGCCAGGAGGGAAGGGTAGCAGAAGTTGCAGCCACAGTCTGGGCAAAAGTAGGGTGGTCTGGGGGTTAAGAGTGTCCTTGAGCCAAGATTTGATGAGACTTTGCCTTGGGTTCCTGCAAGCTCTGGCCAGGCAGCTTTGAGACTGGAGACAGGTGGCATGTTGGCTGGCAACCAATCCTTGAGAGACATTTCTTCAAGTTCCACTTTTTGTTTTGCACTCTTGTTCTGCCTTTTTTTTTGGAGACAGAGTCTCGCTTTGTTGCCCAGGCTAGAGTGAGTACCGTGGTGTCCGCCTAGCTCACAGCAACCTCAAACTCCTGGGCTCAAGCAATCCTGCTACCTCAGCCTCCCGAGTAGCTGGGACTACATGCGTGCGCCACCATGCCCAGCTAACTTTTTCTATATATATTAGTTGGCCAATTAATTTATTTCTATTTATAGTAGAGACAGAGTCTCGCTCTTGCTCAGGCTGGTTTCGAACTCCTGACCTCGAGCAATCTGCCCGCCTCGGCCTCCCAGAGTGCTAGGATTACAGGTATGAGCCACACTCCCGGCCTGTTCTGCCTTTCTTTCTCCTCATTCCCATCCCCGAATCCCGAGACAGGGAAAAAGATAAAACCTGAAACTTAGCAGTGTGTTCCAAACTATGTCCTGCCTTGGAAGACAGCATGAATGGCTGAGAATGAGGTCCCCTGGGAACACAGGCCTCATTAAGCCCTGAAAGCTAACCTGGAGTAAAAGCAAATTCCACCATCTGGAGGTTAACACAGGAAGGCCTGAACACTGGAGATAACAGAAGAGGAGTTAACAATATTGAGCACCTAGTTAAGTCAGATATTGAGAACAGTGATGGTCCCAGCCCTCATGGAGCTTATAGTCCTGAACTTGCGTGGGATCTTTTTTGCAAAAGAGCCATTAAATGACCTTTGATGCCATTCAAGGCCATCACCAAAACGTCTATGCTTGGACTGCACACTAGGTTCCATGGGAAGACTTCCAGGAACATTTATTATGACATGGCTGCAGGAAAAACATTTTGTCTTCATTTTAAAATCTGATGAATGACATTATCTACTCTATACTGTGATCCACATAATTAGATTCCAAGAGAAAGATTTGTCTTCATTTTATCACAAGAAAAATCAAATTACATATATTTTCTCTTTCCCCTTTACTTCCTGGGAAGCTCAAGCTCTATTTTGTGTTCAACTGAGTTTTTCCAGGATGATTAATTGCCTCTATAGGTCCAAATTTTGCTGTTCTCTTGGGCTATTTTGCAATGAGATAAGGTGCAGGGAGCCACGATGGGACTCTGGAGGGGTCAGTGAGTTGTGGGTTGGGGATAGAGGTTTCTCCAAGGCCATATACTAGGGGTTTTGTTGTTGTTTGTTTGTTTGGCGCAGAAACAACCGGTACTATTTATTTGGATGTCTGTGCTGTGGTGGGTACAAACTATATTCTCTGCTCTGTGGGACATACTAGGGTTTCAAATGAAGTACATGCTACCTTTCCCGTGCAGCTCTCACCCGCTGGATCCTGGGCTTCGGGCTCCACACCTTTACCTTTCCTTCCACCCAAGAGACAAAAGCGGGTTTGGGGCCTGAAAAGCCTGCGAAGGAGAAACACTGGGCTCGGCTGAAAATACAGGAGGGGAGGACGAGGCTGCTTCCCCAGTGCCAGTGCCCCACTTCCAGCCCACCCGCTCCTGGGGACAGCAATTCCGAATATCACTGGGGGTCCTGGCCGGATTGCGGGGCCTCACCGAGCGCGCCCAGGTGGCCGTAGGTCTCCCGCATCACGTCCCGGTACAGGGCCCTCTGCGCGGGCCGCAGACACCCCCACTCCTCCGGAGAGAAGTACACGGCCACGTCCGCGAAGCTCACGGCCCCCCCTGCCTTCTTTCCCGCGTCCACTGGGACCGGGCCTCCCCGAGCACAGCCTCCGGGAGCGGAGCCAGGGGCCCCATAGGAAACCTCCTAAGTGCTTGGCAAAGAGAGGCTTCCAGGATACGTGGAAACGCTGTAGCTTTCCTGTCTTTCCTCAGAAAAGACCGCCGGGTCCATATCGCTGCCCTCAACCGAGATGACGCCTTTCTGGCGTCAACATCCCTTGCTTTTCCTCTCCGCCCTTGCGCACCAGGGAGCAGACCGGACCAGAAGGAAGGTTGGACCCACAACACAGCCGATAGACGACATGAGTTGATTGGGCCGCACTAATGAGGGCTGTGATTGGCCTTTCCGGGGCGGCTGGTTTGAAAGGCTGAGGGTGAAAAGGTAACTGGTGTGAACGTAGTTTGAGGGGCCTTGATGACTCCTGACTCGCTTTTCCCGGACCGCAACCTAGGAGAGAGGTTCTAACCGGTTGACTCTACCCCCTCCTGCTACTTAGGTGGGACCTCTCCCAGGCAGATTCGGATGTCCCAGGACTTCGAGGTGAGTAAAAGCTGAAGGGCAAAGACTGAGGCGGATTCTGGAGGAGAGGGAGTGAGGGACGGCCCATCCCAACTCTGTGCCCTCTGCACTCAGGGCAGGGCTAGCCTGGAGTGGCCGCTACCCAGCATTTGCTTTGGTCTTGGCCCGGAGGTCACAGATATCTTCCCTTTTAGAAATGCAGAAGGCCGGTGACTGCCTGTGGGATTCAAAGTCATCTGCTCCCGAGGTTCACTTAAGTGCCTAGTGTGGGGCCCTGCACAAAGTAAGTACTTAATAAATGTGAGTTTATAGTTATTATTGTAATTATTACCATCTGTGTCCTGTCTCTACCAGAAAACCTGTATTCGAATTACAGCTGTTAAATGAATAATAAAACTGGGAAATAAATCACATCATCTCTTAAGACTGTACTTCAAACCTTTCCAACCAAGTATTCATAGAAGCAGTGGAGGAAAGTTCTAGATGTACAACAAAAAGCTGCCTATCCCCACAGTAAAACCACTTTGAAGACATAGCTTTAAAGTTAACATGAATTTATATTCTATTGCATAATATAACCAAATTCAAAAGAATATAGTCAAAAGTAAGTTTCTTGAATATTGGACTCATACACTACTGGTAGAGTATGGAGTATGAGTAACCGCTTTGGAAAACTGACAGTAATTAATAAAGCTGGAATATATGCATACCCTGTGACCCAGCTATTCCATCCCTGTGTATATACTCAACAGAAATGCATACATATATGTTTCCTATGAAGACATGTATTCATGGTAGGGCGTGGTGGCTCACGCCTGTAATCCTAGCACTCTGGGAGCGGGAGCGGATTGCTCAAGTCAGGATTTGTGAGCCAGCCTGACAGAGCGAGACATCCTACTTATGTGGTAGAAAGAAATTATGGGCCAACTAAAAATGTAGAAAAGAATACCGGCATTGTGGCGGCATGCCTGTTATTTCCCAGCTATTCGGTTGTGGCTGAGGCAGAAGGATCACTTGAGCCAGGATTAAGGTTGCGTGGAGTAGGCTGACGCCATGGAAAATCACCTCTAGCTTGGGCAAAATAGAACTCTGTCCAAAAAAAAAAGACCAAGTATAGTTCCAAAACTGACTGTGTTTCTTGAGAGACTATACACAATCTGCCCACTCTCAACAGGCTCTGCAGAGAGAGCAACATCTGTTATATTAATATTTTTGTGTCAGTCTGTCATACACGACGTATAGCATCGTATCTGGTAATGGTTTTTTGTTTTGCTCGCGGAGTTAGTTTGGTGGATAATTAAAGGATGGAGTAAAGGAGAGACCAAAACTGCACCAGAGGCCAAGGATTGCCTAGGGAAAAGTAATGGGTTGTAATTGACATTGAGGTTGCTCATATGTTTTGTTAAGAGAGATAAAGGAATATGCAGAGAGAACGAAACCACGATAGCAGAGAAGGTTGTGAAAGCTTGAACACGTAATGGATACATTTATTTTATTTTGATATCTGAATAGGCGTTATTTTGTTCGTGATATCAATGTACTGATTATCCCGACTTAGTGTGTGGTTTTGATTAAATGTTTTTTTTGAGGTTTTGATGATGGTGCAAATGATGGTGTTCAGTATGGGATTCGTATTCTTTTTTGTTTTGCTTTAAAGTTTACTTAATTAATTGCGAGAACCAGATATATAATTACAAAGTATAGGCTATGAATGGAAAGTGCGAGTAGATAAGAAGGCATATTACTTGTGATAGTGGTAATATAATATTGTGGTATCTCTGAATTCACATTAAATTCTCCAGAGAGTTTTTGATGTTTTCATTTGGAGCAATCAGGTTGGGCTCACACTGCAAATTGATCTTTTTGTTAGCAATACATATCTCAGTTCAAGATATCCATCTCTATCATCTCTACAGTTGGCGCATTTGCAGATTCATGACTTCCAGCTGTTCATCTCCTTTAGTGTCCCTCTTGATCATTCCTTCTAATGCTTCCTCTTCTTGTGCTTGTGCGTCAGGACAGCTGTTTTCAAATTTAGCGATTTTGATCTTTTCCTGATGTTAGTCGTATTGGTCAATATGATTGGACTCTCGCGATGGCGATTATGGCAGGTGTGGCAGAGAGCTGTCTGCTAGTTTTACAGATTGTGATATGTTGTGTCTAGTCCGTAGTTTTTGGGATTTAGTCGGGTAGTTCATCTGTGTGGCATAACTACATTTTTTTTTTTTTTTTTTTTTTTTTTTTTTTTTTTTTTTTTTTGAGAACAGAGTCTCACTTTGTTGCCAAGGCTAGAGCGAGTGCCGTGGCGTCAGCTAGCTCACAGCAACCTCAAACTCCTGGGCTCGAGTGATCTTTCGTGCCGTCTACTCTCTGGGTGAGCTGGGACTACAGGTGCATTGGCGCGCGACCGGTAGGTGTGCCCGCTCATTTTTTATTATGTTGGAGGTGTGTTAGTTTGGTTTGTTTTTTTCAGTTGGGACCGAATGGAATTTCTTTGGTTATATTTTATATGATGGCGTGTGGTCAGTGTGTCACTTTATTTGCGATCAGGCTTGGGGGGAACTCCTGCATTGTGAGCAATTCTCGCCCCCTCGCCCGGTCCAAGAGCGTAGGGATTATGACATTGTCGCGTGTGGAGGCACAGCGCACGTTGGTGGGGGCCTTAAAAATGGTTTTATAAAATAGGTAAAAGATAGATGTCTTTATTAATAGATAGTTTTGATTAAGGTTCTCTTATAAATTTCTAAGTATCTTTATCATTTTGATTAAATGGAATCAGGCCGGGCCGTTGGTGGCGCTGTATTTGGCGGTATGCACTTGGGGAGGTGCGTGGGCGGGCGTTCAAGGCGAGGAGTTGCGGATAGCTCACCTGGATGCGAGACGCCGTCTCTAACAGAGAGAATAGTAGAATTAATTGTGACTGAAGCTAAAAATTAGTATAATATTGGTCAGAATTACCGGCATGGTGGCTGCATGCCTGGTAGGGTTCCAGCGTGACTCGAGGCTGGGGCGGTAGGGATTCGGTGAGTCCCAGAGATGTGAGTTCTATTCCAGAGGCTGACGCCACGGCGAGCTTCATCTGCCTGAAGATAAGTTAGACTTCTGTCGTCAGGTTTTTTTTTTCAAAAAAAAAAAATATATATGAGATCATTATCGTGTAAAGAAAGTAGACTTTAGGACAATACTTTTGTGTTTGAATATGTGAAAGTACTTCCAGAAGAAGTAGGGATACTTCAAAGAAGGTGGAAACTAAATAACAAGCAAGCAGGCATGGTGGCCTTGTCTAGTCCCAGCTACATCTGGAGCTGGTGCAAGATCGTAAGCCCAGGAGTTGGAGGCCAGCCTGGGCCACATAGCGAGACCCTGTCCTAAAAATAATATAAAAAAAATTTAAAAAAGAATAAGAAAGATATGTGGCAAAACACCATTAAGATGACAATATACAGCCGGGCATGGGTGGCTCCCGCCTTGTAATCTAGCACTCTGGGTGGCTGAGGAGGGAAGATTGTTTGAGCTCAGGAATTCGAGACCAGCCTGAGCAAGAGCGTGACCCTGTCTCTACCAAAAATAGAAAAATTAGCTGGGAATAGTGTGCATGCCTGTGGTCCCAGCTACTTGGAAGGCTGAGGCAGAAGGATCACTTGAGCCTAGGAGTTTGAGGTTGCTGTGAGGTAGGCTGAACCACTGCGCCCTAGCCTGGGCAACAGAGTGACACTCATCTGAAAAAAAAAAACAAAAACATGGCATACAGCTTCTATTTGAAACAATGAAAAAGTTCTGGAAATAGTAGTGATGGTTACACAACATTATGAATGTACCTAATGTCACTAAATTGTACACTTAAAAATGGTTAAATGGTCAGTTTAGGCAGGCGCAGTGGCTCACACCTGTAATCCTAGCACTCTGGAGGCAGGCAGGGGATTGCTCGAGGTCAGGAGTTCGAAACCAGCCTGAGCAAGAGCAAGACCCTCTCTACTATAATAGAAAGAATTAATTGGCCAAGTAATATATATAGAAAAAAATTAGACGGGCATGGTGGCACATGCCTGTAGTCCCAGCTATTCGGGAGGCTGAGGCAGCAGGATTGCTTGAGCCCAGGAGTTTGAGGTTGCTGATAGGCCAAATGCGGACACTTAGTGGTCAACAAAGCGAGACTCTGTCTCAAAAAAAAAAGATCAATTTTACATTATGTGTATTTTACCACACACACAAAAATGATGTTGCAACCTCCATCATAATTTTTAAAAACCAATTTATTTACTTCCAAAACCAGATTTCTTTAACACCACTCATAGGATTTGTACAAAATATTCTGTGAGTATATTTATTTTATTTGCAAGAATGACTCATGGTTTGCAGCAGGCAGGGCCAGGCATACAGACTTGTAAAATAGCAACAGCTGTAAGCCAGACTGCCTTATCATGTAGTGTCATCTTTTCTTTTAGGTGCTCCTGTCTGTTTTCCAGAGATGTTGACATTAACTTTCACTTCTGTGTGTTAGCATTTCCTCTTTTTGCTTTCAGTGATATTCTTTGAACTGGTAACTTTGCTATGT